ATGGATTTGTGGGATATCTTTGCGGTCTGGGCTGAGGTGTGGTCTTTCAGAAAGGATTTCAGTTAGTTTCTACTGGGAGCCTGGAACCACTAGCAACTTCCATCTCCTTTAAATTGCAATTTGGCTTGCAGTATTTGTACTAGGTAGGTAGTATAAATTTGGGCCATAAAACCAGGTGAATTCCGGGCCTATGGGTATGAATCTCAAGAGAGATTTTTTTCATAAACCCAGAGCTAAGGCAGGACACAGAAGTTGCTTGCTAAGTTGCCTTTCTATCTACCAATTCAAGATTGATTTTTAAAAATGTTTTCTTCAAGTATGTAGCTTTTTGTGGGTCTTGAATTTATTCAGAATCTCTAACCGTCATTGGATCCAAATATTTGTCTTCTGTTCCCTATATGCAGTCAATTAAAACCAAGCTATAGGTCACTGGGATCCACAGAAGCCTAAAGAGCAATCTCTGAGTTCAGTGCTTGCTTATCTTTCTCTATAAGCCCTAGGGAATTTCCCTTGTTTTCTTATAAGCCCAACTGTACATTAAAATGGCCTCTTAACAATATTTTATTGTTTTTAGATATTTTTTGATAGGAAGGTTTTAGGATAGTTTTCTCATTACATAATGGAAATATATATTTATTTAAAAAACCCAAAAGTTATCACACTACCAGTGTACTCATGAATTATCAAAAGTGAAGAATATCTACATGATTAAGGTTCTGAAATAAAACTTACATTTTTATCCATGCAACATATTTATAATCAAGGACTATTCTTCTACTGACAGAATTAATGAAGTTTTTTGTTTGTTTGTTTCAGTAGCTTCTGCTAGGAAATAGACATTACTCATAAACCACAGTTACAAGGTATACAGTATTTCCAAGATATTTGTATATTGTTAACTAATTATATAGGTGGATTATCTAAATTTAGATGCTAATAAATTTGAGTGTCATCTCACTAAGTCTGAAAAAAATTACTGGTATTTTTTGTGGCATTTAAATGTTTTCGTGTGTTCCTACAAGAACCAATTCTATTAGCAATATATCTGAAGACCAATAGTCACTGATGCTCTGCCAGTCATTGCTGATAAAGAAAAGAAGGGTAAAAAAAATTAACGAGATATATCCCATTCCTTGGATGTACTATACTCTGTTAGAACAGATAAATGCAAAGGAGGTAATACAGCACAATATGATACATACTGTCATAGATGCACATTAGGAATCTTGAAGAAAAATGATATACTCTGCTTGGGAAAATCTGTGGAATCTTCCTAAAAGATGATGATATTTGAGCCAGTTCTTGAAAGATGAGCAGTGATTTATCAGGGGGAAAAAAGAGGGAAGGACATTCAGTCAAAAGAGAGTAGCACATGCCAACGCAGGAGAGCTATTAATACATTGTGTAATTGAGGATTATGTGATTCCATGGGAAAGGGGGCATGACTTGTGGAGTGGTGGCCAATGATAGATGATAGTAGTGGGATATGTGAGAGGCAGATTATCTAACTTTTTTTTTTTTTTTAACTCTATAATAAGAAGGGGAAATTGATTCTTTCAGCAGTGGGGTGCTGTCAGGTTTAGAAGGTTTTAGGTATGTACTTCAGTATGTCAACTGGCAGAGTTGCAGAGTACAGAAAAAGATTCTGGAGAGAAGAGGCGGGGAGAAATACTGCCACCAAAAGGACCTTTAGGAGTAACAGCAAATGTTTGAATGCATCAAATTATTAATTCTTTTCTTTGTGAAAAAGATAAAACATTTTAGATATAATTATAAGAAAAGGATGTGCATCTTTTATTTTTTGATAAAAACAATATATTCTAGGGAATACAAAACTTAAGCCCAACTTCTTCAAGTTTTGTGGCAAATGTTAATTAATAACCAAGACAATTGGTTAGAGACAATTTTATAAACGACTAATGACTTCTTTGTTTTAATGTCTTCTGTTATATGTCAGGCATTGTTTTTTAGAAATCTGTAAGATCACAAAGAAGAAACAGTCATTCTTTCATTATTGAAAGCATCCTTTAACTTCGTAGTATAAAATCTTTGGGAATAAGACTTTTAATGGGGCTAAAGTCAAGGCCAAATGTTGTGTTTCTGTCTATTTAAAGTTATCTCAGTAATGTTTTAAAAAGTATATTGACTCTTCTGGCTATTTTGGAAGATGATTATTTAGATATAATGCATATCAATTGATTGCTTGGATAATGATTACATAATAGGATAATAAAAAGGCTAAGGATTTTTGCAAAGTAATACTTGACTTCTCTGTGGTGTTGGCAGATCTGAAAATTGACTTGAACAGAAAAAAGCCAATGAATTCCAATTAAGTCACCTTATATCATTAATGTTGGAGAAATACGAAACGAATATTTAGATCCAATTCATCTTCAAAAAATATGTGTTACAACTGGAGTAAAAATATTTGGTTTTGACCTGACATAAATCCAAGGGACCCTAAAAAAAAGTTAATATAAATACTTAATCACTGCATCATTAACACTTTACCTGTAAGTAGGAGTTTATAAAATGTATTTAAATAACAAAGTATATAATATTTATTAACTACCAAGAAATTTGGAGATAGTATCAATTACATTAAGAGGAGTTGAGATTAAAATGCTTACAGCCAAGGTAATTAATTGGAATTGATAATCATTGTAGATGGTTACTGTTATTGTACCTGCACATTGGAACAGGTGGGTTTGATCCTTTGCACACACAAGAGTTCATAAAAACTGCTTTTAATACCCTTTATTCTGTAGTCCTGCTTAGTCAATCATGCAGTAGGTTATTATAAGAATCATGTGAACTTCTATGTATACAAATGTCAGATCAAGTACAGGTTTCATTAATTATGTATGTTTTAAACTTCCAGAAATAAAAAAAAAGAGAAAAAAGAAAAAAAAAAAACAGAGGCTAATAAATTAAATACAAAAAAATGAAATATTTATTCTTTCGGCTCGATAATGACGTAGCTCACCATTCTTTTTAGTAATAGCAATTCCCTGCATGCAATTCATCAATACACTACAAGTAAATAGTTTTGTAAAATGAATTAACATTAAATTTTTGGTTTGTGCAAAAAACGAAAAATTTCTATCATGTTAGGTAATTGCACAGCTTTGCCACTTTGCTCATGGCTAGAAAGGACAGAGCCCATGTCATATCTCTAATAGCTTTAGTGCAAAAAAAGAATTAAAAAATAAGACTAGTCTACATAAGCAAATACTACAAAAGTTGAGTAAAAAAAAAAAAAAACCTTCCATGAATAAAGGATTATATTGAGGCAACCATAGTTGGTAGAAAATGATCTAGGTTTGAGTGTTTGATCAATGTATCTCTTATTGGCATGGTAGAAAATATAACAAAGAAATTCACAAAACCCATTGTCTAGCTTTTATTTTAGGAAATTATCCATTGAAAAGTCTTATGGATTCAAAAGTTTGGAGTTGTGATTAAAAATAAAAAGCAAAAGCATAAAGTAAAATAAATTGCCGTGTCATCAACCTGAAAATAATTTTCTTATGTACAAAATGCGACAAATAAAATTGATTATATTTTTACATTATTTATATTTAAACAAGTTTTGGACGTATTTTTAGCAAAATATGAAGTATAGGTTTTGACAATAGGCTATATGCAGTGTATTTCCTTGAAATCTAGAGAGACACCATATGACACTCAAGTCAAATTAAAAATGCAAAAGTAAAAGTACTTTTAAATAACTGCAAGCTATTCTGCTTGACATACTAGACAGAGAGCTGGTTGAATTCACTCTACCACCAACATGTGACTCCTAACCAAGACTTATGAAGAATGGATCGAGTAAAACAGAGCAGCATAGGCAATAGTAACATGCATTAGTGATAGTGTTCAAACTATTCATGTTTAATGAATGGTACAGGATACATCCCTGTTGGAAGCTCGCAAAAGACGCATACACTGTGGTACATATTTGATTTAATAGAAGTTGTTTATCAGGCTGTATATATACTTATATATATATACATATATATATATATATTTGCCCAAACATGCACCACAGGATAAAATAACTATTTACATAACGAGGGTGTTTAATTGACATAAAATATCAGCTTTGCTAAGAGCAGAAGATGGCAAAGCAATACTGCAGCAGAAAGTGGAACAACTATTCTAAAGCGATACTTTAGATATACTTTTCTAGAACAGATTTATTAGATTACTTTTTTTTTTTGGAAAGCATTTAACCAAAATTAAATATAGAACTCTGGAACTTGGAATAAAATTTGCACTTGCTGAAACAGAATACTTTGCATAAAAATAATCTTTTAAAAATTAGAGGAGACTTTACAGGCACATAACTGTTCAGATATAAACAAACATAACAGACTAAAACACTTTCAAAATTAAAGTCATCTAGAAAATGGAAGTACCTGAAATTGTCGACATTAGAATTTTGTTTCTGGTTTTGAGCAAGAATTTTACCTCTTGGATAAAACGTTTTTGTTTGATTATTTGAGAAACTTTTGGAATAGGAACGCAGGATTCTTATAAACTTTTTTTCTCAACTTAAACCTCGTTTACAAAAATAGTGGCGTAGTATTATGAATAAACTATGAAATAAAGACCAGGGAAATCCACTAGAACAAATTTTGTAAAAATATGGCAGATACAGAAGTTAAAAATAGAGTGGGTTGCAAGTACTGTACTAAGGGTGTTTGGTGTAGTTACATTGATCACTTTGCACAGCTATCCCTACAGTCTAGGTAGTCGTTGAGTTTCTCCTCAGCAGTGTCAGCTGGTAATGAAAACAGCAACCTTTGTCAGTGTTGATACCCTGACTCACAGAGTTGTAGAGACAGAGAGGTCACTGTCTTGTTATAGGCACTGACCATGAGTATTTGTTTAAACAGTCAGTTTGGCATAGACCTTCTCTGGGAGTCAGTTGACACATAGACTTTACCTTCGTAGGCTGTAAACAATTGATCACAAAGATAATTCTTTGTTTCTTTTTACTTTTGATTTTCCCTGACCTCTATCCCTTTGCTTTCTTTTTCTGGTTTGTCTTTCTCAAACTTTTCTTTGTCTGGCTTTGTTACACTATCGTAGGAAGGAGGTGATGTGGTAGAGGAACTTCCATCTGTTTTTTCTGGGGTGGAGTTCCCATTTAATTTGTCAATAATCATGTCTTCTTTTATAGGTAAGTCAACCCTCCCTTTGATTGCCTCTTTACTGTATTTACTTGACACATTTTTTAACCTTTGCCTTAAAAGATAACATCTGAAATTACGCTGAATGATAGCAGCAGACACCTCCTCTTGTTTGCGTTTCAAAGTGGTTGTGATGGGCTCATAGGAGACTTTGGAGGGGTTCGATGCCATGAATCGCTCTTCCATCTGTATTCGAAGGGCATCCATCTCTCCACTCTCACCCAAAACACGCTTTGTAAAGGCAAATAAAATGTCAAGGCAGTGGATCCGGTCTCCACTGACCATGGGTAGATCCATGGCAATGAGCTGGACTTTGTTTGGTTTTGCTATGAGAAGAGGAGGGTCCAGGGCAGCTGCAAAATCAGAGAGCTTGGAGAACTCTATAAACTGAGTGGCATCGGGATCAAACTTCTCCCAAACCTCGTAGAACATCTCAAAGTCATCCTCACTCAGGGGCTCTGCACTTTCTTCAGTAGCAACACTGAAGTTCTCCAGGATGACAGCGATGTACATGTTCACCACAACCAGAAATGATATGATGATGTAACTGACAAAAAAGAAAATCCCAACAGATGGGTTCCCACAGTCTCCTTTAACTGAGCTTCCAGGGTGAATTGTGTCAGGGTCACAGTCGGGTGGTGCACTGTTGAGAATAGGTGCCAGCAATCCATCCCAGCCAGCAGACGTGGTTATCTGGAACAGGCAGATCATGCTGTTGCCAAAAGTTTCAAAGTTGAACATGTCATCAATTCCAGCTTCCTTTTTAACATAGGCAAAGTTGGACATTCCAAAGATGGCGTAGATGAACATGACCAGGAAGAGCAGGAGGCCGATGTTAAACAAGGCGGGAAGGGACATCATCAGGGCAAAGAGCAGTGTGCGGATCCCTTTTGCCCCTTTGATCAGACGTAGGATTCGGCCGATCCTGGCAAGACGGATCACGCGGAACAAGGTAGGGGACACAAAGTATTTTTCTATCAGCTCAGCCAGAAACATGCCTTCGGAAAAATACAGAAAACAGATAAGCAGTGAATATCTTAGGCTTACATGAATGCTTTATCTTTGCAAGATCTATGAAAACAACAAATTTGTTATGAGTGTAAACCTTTGCTAAATATTTGGATCTACTCCCTAATTTAGCAATTAAAGGTTATAGAGTTTTATATAGTTATTCTATAATGTCATAAGCCAATACGAATTTTTGCAAAATTCAATAAATCTCAGGGTATGGCAATTTAAAATTATACATACCCAGCTATGAATAGTTATCCTCACATATGAAATGTGCTAATTACAAACAAAGATTATTTCTGATCTCTCTGTATATATTATTTCCTATTTTTGAATACCAACATTCTTCGGTTAGAGGAAAATGAACAAGAATGTTAAACTTTAGATCTACACACATTATAATTCTCATATCTGATTTCCATGTTACATAGCTGTCAGGCCTTGGGAGACTTTTCTACAAGTGCACCTCTCTGTAATTAAAGCATTCTTACCTACGATGGAGAGAATTACCACCACAAAATCAAAGATGTTCCAGCCTATGGTGAAGTAGTAGTATCTGAGGGAGATAAGCTTTAGCACAAACTCTCCAGTGAACAGGACAATGAACACAAGGTTGATCCGGGACAAAACTAGAGTCATATATTTGCTCTGGTCATCAGTTTCAACCATCATGGTGACCATGTTCAGGCAGATGAGGATCATAATGCTGATATCAAAGACTTGTCTGGTTACAAAATCAAAGACCATTCCTTGGAATTTGTTCTAGAAAAAGAGAAGAGAGAGAAGGTTCATATGCATATTTCATAAATATTAATCTAGTAAAATTGCAGACTGAATTCTTTCATATATGGCCATGAGATGTGTACCCTTTTCACATTATCCCCAAACAGCCTGTGTGTTCCATTTCTCTTCATGTTTAAAAAAGAGAAAGAAATGAAAGAAGTCATATGACAAGAACAAAACATAATTGGTTTATTAGATTCCATGGGAAGATGAACCTGAATAAGGCATAAAGTGGTGGCTAATAAAATGTGTGGGCTTTGCATGATTTTAATTACTATGATAATTTTTACAAAAAGTAATGACAGCTAATAATATTTACAAAGTAGGTTAATATAAACAGACTTTTAGATGGATGACTACCCAGATTGATTTATCAATATTTTCGGATCTGATTGATAATATCTTTTTTTCCATCTCTCCCTCCCTCAAAATATGTCAGTCATTTTCTATTTAATTCTACCTCTTCTAACAATAATATTTAAATAACCTTCAGTAAAGTAGGTTTATGTGCTTTTGTATATCCTGTACCTCCTCCTCCTTCCCCCTACCCAGCTCCAACTATTTTCAAAAATATGGTAAAATGAAGTCATTTATAGGATTCATGAGAATTTGTCAAGTCCCAGTTCTAGCAATTATTGTCTTTGTGACTTCGGACCTCAGTTTCCTTATTCCTTACTCATCCAACAGGATAGAGGAGTTTGAGTACAGCTCTGTGAGTATAATATATCGTTATTATGCCTTCCTATTATGAAACTCTACAGAGTATGCATTCTGAATAAGTCTTAATTTTTTTTGTATATTTGGTGAAACAAACTACTTTGATGACACCCTTTTCCTTTCTAAAAAGTTTATTTTCTAGTCATAAGAATAAAGAGAACAAATAGCATAGAGGGACGCCATGGGTGTGGGATGGGAAATCTGGAAAACTCAATCTACTTAAAAGGACAAGAGGGTGCCATATA